TTATTATGGATTCAGAGATGTCAAAAAAATGGTCATCCCAGGCAAAAGAGGCCAAGCCACACTTCAAACCACCAGGCCTCTTGGACATTTCCCAGAGCAGCAAGCTGCTTTCTCTCACTCCCCAAATGCACTGTGGACCTTGACCAAGTCCCTGAGCTGGAGACTTCCTCCCCTTTGCCTTCTGTTCTTCCATAAATGGATTGTATTAAAATCACAGGCAACGATGTGTATGTCCACCAACAGATGAATGGGTAAACAAATTGTTGTATAGCTGGACCATGGATTAAAACATAACAGTAAAAAGGAATGAACTGTTGATATACTCAACAACATGGACGAATCTCTAATTATTCTGGGTAAAAATATATATATATTTTTTTTTTTTTTTTAAAAAGAAGCCAGACACACACACTCTCCCAAAAAGAATCCACACTGTGTGAATTCCATTTGTATAAAATTGTACAAAATGCAAACTAATCTATAGTGACAAGATCAGTTGTTGCTTGAAAATCGGGGTTGCAGGATCATGGAGAGGGGTAGGAGGGAGAAACTGGAAAGGGGCATGAGGAAATGTGGGGGCATGAGGCGTGTGTTCATTATCTGGATTGTGGTAATGGTTTCACAGGTGTATACATATGTGAAAACTTATCAAGTTGTACACTCTATATGTACTTTATTATAGGGCAATTATACCTCAATAAAGCTGTAAAAACATATCATCACAAAATGATCTTTAGGTGACTTCCAACCGACTTCCAACTCCATTTTTTTTCATGATTCCTCTTTGATCCCTTTACCAAACTCCTTTGAAGAAACGTTATTAGCCCCGAGCAAATATCTTTTTGTTCTTAAAAGGCACCAATCCTGGTTTTTCCAACTGAAAATAAGAGAGGAGTGTTGTAAGTAATCCCCTTCATCATTATTAAGGATATAGTTCTCTTCTCCCACGCTCACCAAAATCTTACTGGGATCAAATGTCCTTAAAAAAGACCTCTATTCCCTGTTTTAGGGCATAAAGAAGAAAAATCAAAAACTTTTTCCAGAAACTTCCAATCTTGTGATATAAATGAAGTGAAGACCAAGATTTTAAGAGTGGCCTGGTTCCTTTGGGGCTCACCTGGTTATTAATGATTCTGCTCTGTGCAAAAAAGGGGGTATCTTCTCCCTTTGGACTGGCTCTCTCACCAACAACAAGCTTGGTAAGAGGACTAAACAAACAGCAATCCAGAGATAGCAAGAGGTGGGTAGCTGGGGTGGGAGTACTTTTTTATCCTGCTGCAACCCACAACTGTAAAATGAACTGGCCCGATTTAAAGGTTTTGCAGTTTGGGGGCGTCTGGGTGGCTGAGCCGTTAAGCTTCTGCCTTTGGCTCAGGTCATGATCCCAGCGGGGAGCCTGCTTCTCCCTCTCCCACTCCCCCTGCTTGTGTTCCCTCTCTTGCTGTGTCTCTCTCTGTCAAATAAATAAAATCTTTAAAAAAAAAAAAAGATTTAGAGGTTTTGCAATTTCTGACCACTGGTCTACATTCCTGAAAGGTTACATGTGAGATAAATGTGGTCACTCCGTGCGTGTGTGCATTTTAAGTTGAATCATTATTTTCTCATTCATTCACTATAATGAAGAAACAGATCTTCTTGGGATCACTTGAATTCTGCTTTGCAATTTACAAGCTCTGTGCTCTTGGGCAATCGCTTGACTTCTCTAAGCTTCAACTTCCTCCTCTAGAATGGAGCTGACCTCGAAGGGCTTACCTCAAGATTATATAAAATGAGAATGGCGTAGGGCCTGGTACATGGAAAGCACTCGATAATGCTTTATGAAATTTGTATTGTAAGTAAATATCTGTTGAAGCAGAATTTCAGAGTCCTTTATCTCTCCTTCTGATAAGCCTTCATTTTGTTATTACTCAATACCACATAACTTTAAGCTTATCCCTCTCTCACCTTCTGTCACATTAATAATCCAAATCCACAAACAGACAAGAACACCTTACAGGAATTTGCTATTTAAAACAGCAACGGCTAACGTTATTGAACACTTAAAATGTGTCCAACATTGTGTGTGCTTTTTTTCTTGAAGTATAGTTGACATACGATGTTATATTAGTTTCAGGTGCACAACACAGTGATTTGACAATTCTATACGTTACTCAGTGCTCACTATAGTAAGTGTGGCCACCATCTGTCATCATACAACATTATTACAATATTATGGACCATATTCCCTATGCTGTACTTTTCATCTCCGTGACTTAATTATTTTATAACAGGAAGTTCCTACCTCTTAATCCCCTTCATCTATTTCGCCCTGTACCCCCACCCATCTCCCTTCTGGAAAGTACCAGTTTGTTCTCTGTATTTAAGAGTCTGGTTTTTTGTTGGTTTGTTCATTTGTTTTGTTTTTTAGATTCCACATATAAGTGAAATCCTATGGCATTTGTCTTTCTCTGTCTGACTTACTTCACTTATCATAATACCCACCAGGTCCATCTGTGTTGTCACAAGTGGCGAAATTTTGTTTTGTTTTTGTTTTTGTTTTCATTTGTCAGAGAGAGAGAGAGAGCACAAGCACACAAGCAGGGGGAGTGGGAGAGGGAGAAGCAGGCTCCCCGCTGAGCAAGTCGCCCAATGCGGGACTCCATCCCAGGACCATGGGATCATGACCTGAGCCAAAGGCAGACGCATAACAACTGAGCCACCCAGGTGCCCTGAAACTTCGTTCTTTTTTAATGGCTGAGTAATGTTCCATTGTGTATATATATACACCACATCTTCTTTATCCATTCATCCAGGGATGGACACTTGGGCTGCTTCCATATCATGACTCTGGCAAATAATGCTGCAATAAACAGAGAGGTACCTGTATCTTTTCAAATTAGTGTTTTCATCTTCTTCGGGTAAATACCCAGTAGTGGAATTACTGGATCATATGGTATTTCTAAAACTTTTAATTTTTTGAGAAACCTGCATACTGCTTTCCACAGTGGTCATACCAATTTACATTCCTACCAACAGTGCACGAGGGTTCCCTTCTCGCCAGCCCCTATTATTTCTTTTCTTTTTGATTCTAGCCATTCTGATTGGTGTGAGGTGTTATCTCATTGTGTGTGTGTGTGTGTGTGTGCTTTCCTTGATCTGCCATTTATTGCTTACAACAGCCCTAGAAGGTTCGAACTATTATTACCCCCATTTCACAGATGAAGAAATTGAGGTACAGACAGATTAAATCATTTTGCAAGGTCACACAGTTAATAAGAGGCGTGGGGTGGGGTGAAGGGGCAGGGTTTAAACCCAGGCAGTCTGACTGTGGACTATCTACACTTAACCACTACTCTTTACTGCACGTTTTTTAAAAAAATGGACTTTTAAAACACTTTTGTTAAAGAAATCATCACAGGCTTACCTGCTTGATAATGCTGGATATTGTTCGAAAAATCACAGGGGCCTTAAGACAGGGAGTTTCAGAAATGCTAGATCATCTAGCATGATGGGAAGTTCCTCCCCAGCCTCTAGGCAAGGCCACAGTTAAACAACCCAGGACTGGCAGAAAGCTTCCTGAGAACAGAATCCCACAACTTCTACTCATAGTTCATTCCAAAGTTTAACAGTCAGGAAATTCTTAAATTACAACTAACTCAAATCCTTTATGTTGCAGGCTAAGCCCCACTCCTTGGGCTGATAAACCCCAATATTTCCATTTCTCTGACTCATTCGCTCAACTATTAAAGTTATTAAGCATGCCCAGCTGAATTATATACTGAACATGGAAACAAAAAGCTCCTAGGTTCCGACAGGATCACTCAGGAGATTGGCCAGGTGAGAGAAGAGGGGATTTGTAGAGACAGGGTGAGGAGACAAGAGCCCTCATTGAGAGTTATGGGCACACAGAGAGTCCAGGCCGCCTACTTGTGGGCTTAACCATACAATGCTGAAACATCCCAGCGCAGACTCATCCAGAGCAAACGCAGGGTGAATTCCAAGCTGAGATGCCTGGATAACCTACGCTTTCCTTTCCCTGTGTCCTAAATCTGTCTACCACCACCATCTTGCCATTTTCTCTGTGTAAAAGCTTTTCATTTACCGAGCGCTGCAATTAAGTGGACTCTTTCTCTTCTGCAAACAAAATAACTTCAGTGGCTGAATTCGAAATGTCCCAATGTGATGCTGCTGAACAGCCAAGGCTGCGGACAACGTGACGCCCTTAGACTAGGACACACGAGAGATCTAGATCCTGCTCCTGGTGCCACTACGCCTTCAGCCTGCATTTACTGAGTACCTAAGCACCGGGAAATGCCGACGCAGTTCCCGCCCTCAGGGAACCTACAGTCCAGCCTGGGAGACGGTGGCACGCACCAGCCCTGTGGATTGCGGGCCGGTGTTACAAAGGCAGTTAAGCTCCCGATGTTAGGAAAGCGCCGAGGAGCCTTTCATCCACTGTTACCCTCGCACTTCCCTGAGCTCAAGATTCTGTTCGTTAAAACTGGGATAGTAATTCCTTCTTAAGCTGTTGGATGGTGCTGTGGGGGCCTCAAAGGCCAAGGCTCCTAGAAAAGGATAAAGGGCCATTGAAAATAGGGACTGTTTGTTGATGAACGACGTAGTGGGGCTAATCCACGCATTGAAAGATGAGCCTGGTTCAGCGGCGCCATAGGCAAGCGCGAGCAGAGGGCTAGAACGGTGGCAACTCGCTGGTACCTGTTCCGGAAAACAACACACTTGACCTAATGGGGGCGGGGGGTCCGGAGCAAATTCCAAAGTTAGAACCTCGGAAAGCGACACCCTCAGTCACTCAGCACCCGCAGCCACGAGCGTCCTCCCCCGCCTCACTCTCCAGGTACTCCGCTCCGTCCCCACCCTTGGAAACCCTAAGCCGAGCTCCTGAAGGGCCGGACCGAGCCGCGGGCGCCCCCTGGCGGCCAGGCGCGGACTCTGGGCGCTCGGAGCGCGGGGGCGGAGCTGACGAACTAAGGGGGGCTATTCTCGCGTGAACTAATGGCGTCATCAAAGCGACAGGCCCGGAAGGAAGTAGCGTGTGGAGGGCGTGGCGGTTTCTACGGTTGCACGGGGGTTCGGACGAGTACGGAGCGCCTGGAGGGACAGCCTGGTACGCGGCCCCCGCCCCTTAGGGTGCGCACTGGGCCTAGTTGCGGCTTCCAGCCGAAGCTCATCGGTGGTTCTCCCGGGCCCCAGCCCTAGCAACCTCTCTCCTTCCGGGGCGAGAAAGCAACCCTTTTCTGTTCCGTCCCTTCCCCGCGAGCCCCAGGGCGCTTGGGACGCGCGACCTTCTCTCGGAAGAGGGCAGGGAAGGGGCGCGAGTTGGGGGCGGGGAGGGGAGCATTTGCAGAAAGGACGCAGCCGCAGATCGGTAGCTGGAGTCCGCTACGGTAAAATAAGCGCCTCGCAGACGTCTGAGCCCGAGTTATGTTAGCCCCGGGAGACAGAATCCACGCCCTGCGCGGGTGGGCCCAGGCACTCCTGGCTGTGAACTTTGCTGTCAGTTACCGTCGTTTTTCCAGATCCTTCAGTGTTCAGGAAATGAGTCTCCAGATGCCAGCTCTTTCTCGTCCTGGTGCTTCCCACCCTGGGGAACCCTCTTTCTCCTCTAACCATGGGCGTGGGCACCGGTGAGGTGCCAAGTGCCGGTCAAATATATGGGATGATGTATTCAGAGCCCTCCCCCGTTTAGATCCAAAGGAACAACTGGGAAGGTGGACGAAAGGCCAGAGAATCCCACCATGTGAACTCTGCTCACGTGCTGACTCTGTCTCTCCAGCGTCTGAAAGGAGCAAATAATGGTTTCCTTTGAAATGGCAGGCAATTAGGACTGGGAGGCTCTGGCCAGAATTACATAACCACAACTGCCTGTCATTTGACATCCTCTGTAATTTGGGCAACATACTGCAGCTGCCTCTCTTCCCTTTTACTAGTATGAGTGACTCCAGTGGCAGTACATTCGTGTTCACAGGAAGAGAACGCTGCCCAGTTGGCACTGGTTCTCTCTTGGGGCCCGGCTGTATCTGGAGCCACTGCCTTGGGGAGGTAGGGAATATGATCCCACAGCTAAGGAAGGAGTGGGAATGTTGCCTGAGAACAAGGATGAAGAGAGTTGTAGATCTAGCCTTGTGTTCATAGTACAACAGGCTCGGCCTGAGCCACTTGCAGGGAGCTCAGCTCAGTGAGGTTCTCTCCCTGTCATAGCTTTTCTCCTGCATGTCGGACTACACACGTCTTCCTGTGTCTTTTTCCCTAGGATAAAGGTTCGCTGATGGCTCAGTTGGGAGCAGTTGTGGCTGTGGCTACCAGTTTCTTTTGTGCATCTCTCTTCTCAGCTGTGCACAAGATAGAAGAGGGACATATTGGGGTGTATTACAGGTAAGGAAGAGACAGAGAGAAGCTTGCAACTCCCTGTTAAATGTCTCTTTCTCCTAGTCACTGTCTAGCAGATTCTGTTGATTATCTGTGTCCATTGAATAGAGGACTCTTTTTATTTTTTTTTAAAGATTTTATCTATTTATTTGACAGAGAGAGACACGGCGAGAGAGGGAACACAAGCAGGGGGAGTGGGAGAGGGAGAAGCAGGCTTCCCGCAGAGCAGGGAGCCCGATGCGGGGCTCCATCCCCTGGGATCATGACTCGAGCTGAAGGCAGATGCCCAACAACTGAGCCACCCAGGCGCCCCTAGAGGAGTCTTTTTAAAGATTGAGCTGTGGTGTCAGTGACCATGGAAGGGGACATACACACACACACACACACAATATAGATGTAAATATAAAATTTAATAGTCTTAAGTTGATGCCATGGGTGGCGAACAATAAATGCGTCTAGAAATTTAGAGACAAGATCTAAAGGAAACCAGTGCTTGCAGATCATCTCTGAAACATTGTCTTCTCCTACATCCCTCCCGGGCATCTTGGCTCCACAAGGTTACCTCCAATGAGCACCAGTTCTTGATGGCAACTTGAGGAGCTAGCCTGCTCTGCTGATCTGTACCCACTCTTGAAAATTAACATTTCAGGAAAAAAGAAGAATCCTGCAGATTGATCTATATTAATCAAGGCAAGCCCTAGAGTAGTGGTTCTTATAAGAAAGGAGCCCGTTATGTCACTGTTTATTTTATTGCTCTGTTTTGGAAAGAAATAATGTATTTTTTTCCTTCATAATGCAAAGCACAGAAGCACTTATAAATCTTGGGTTGCTTTCCTTTCAGTAACTTCCATAACCAAGTCTTTAAGTCTTTTACAAACTCCTTCTTATATGTGCCCAAGATGCTTATTGCTGGATTGCCAGTAGCAAGTTCTAGAAGTCTCATTGGGCTCCACTCTCCCCTTTATTTTTCCCCACCTTCTGCTCATATGTCCCCAAAAAAGGCTTTTAATTTTGTTACCCTTTACATATAACTTGGCTCTAAAGGTAATACTACTGCCCAAAAAAGGTATGTAAATGATTTTTAAAGCGTTCTTAAAATTATTCTTTTGGTTGTTCATGCCCCTGGACTCCAACATTAGTGCAGTCAGTTGATAAATGTATTACTGGATTTAACTGCCCCCATGGATTGCCCCAAACTCAACGGGTATGACAAAGTTAAAAAGACTTCCTCTTCTGTTAAGGATTGCCAGGGATCCTGCTGTCTTCATTCCACTTAGCCCATGTGCCTATTTTTCCTGCCGCAAAAGCATGAATAATGGCTTTATGTTTTACCATCAGGCTTCCTAGAATATTAGGGTCGAGCTGAGAGGAAGGGGTCTGTGGAATGGCTCGGGCACATGTCTCACTCCGTATGAAACGTTTATGGGGCCGTGGAGAAAGTCGATGCAAGTAGTGTTGCTGCAATTGTTACCTCTTGCTGAACTGCCTCTCTCTTTCTCCTCTACAGGGGCGGAGCCCTCCTGACTTCCACCAGCGGCCCGGGTTTCCATCTCATGCTACCTTTCATCACATCATATAAGTCTGTGCAGGTAAACTAGGCTTGTGGGGCATGTGTGGGCCACTGCAGGTTTGGGGTGTTGGTAGATGTATAATTTGGAATTATTTCCCATTAGATGAGTATAATGCTTCTTCAAGGAATCATATATATATATGATGTATCATATGTATATATAAAGAATGAGGCTCCATGAACCACATACCCTAGAGCTTTATTTGATTGTTGAAAGAGTTGAATGGGGTCATTGCCTCGGCCCCTCGGCCCCAGCTGGGAATTATTTCTTCACTTCAGGGTAGAGCCAGAGAAGAATCTGTTCCAAATGTACAGAAGGAAAAGTAGGGTGTGTGTGTCTGTGTTTTCAATCACAGGTTACCAAGATAAATGGAAATAAAACATGGTAATTTTGCTGGTTCTTATTTGAACTTCATAGATGTGAACAGAATTTGGAGAGGAAAGTTGGACTTGGTGAAGGGAAATAACATCTCAAGGAGGAGTAGGATTAGTTATGATGGATAGAAAGCCTAAGATAGACTAGCTAGCCGTCTTTGAAGTATGTCCAGCCAAGAGGGATGAGATTTAGAGGATGACTTTTAAACTGACCCAAGAAGATATACTGGGACACCTCCTCAGCCTTCTCCACGTTCATTTCTTCTATCATTTCCTGTGTTTGATGGTTTTCTGAGTGCATTCGTGCCCAGGACCCTAGGAGTCTCACAGTAATGCTGAGAAGGGGCTGGGCCAGGTTAAATACAGAATCCTCTTGTTTCAAGACTAGTAAAGGAAGACTGTAGGGGTGAGGCAGGTCTGAAGACTCCTAATCCAGGGCCTTTGTTACTAAACCATTATTGCTTAGATTGTTCGTATGGTGATTCACTTACAGTGAAGCTGGGCTAGGTACCTTTGTTCATCTAAGTCTCATACCCTGCGTAAATAAAGAGGATTGGGGGAGTATTCATGTTTTGTTTTGTTTTGTTTTTAAGAGTTTATTTATTTATTCATTTGACAGAGTGAGATAGCGAGAGCAGGAACACAAGCAGGGGGAGTGGGAGAGGGAGAAGCAGGCTTCCCACGGAGCAGGGAGCCTGACGCGGGGCTCGATCCCAGGACCCGGGAATCATGACCTGAGCCGAAGGCAGACGCTTAACGACTGAGCCACCCAGGCGGAATATTCATGTTTAACAAGGCCAAAGCTCAACCCAGATAACCTCAAGGACCAGGGGTTTGGGGTTCCAAAACTAAGTTACTGTGCTTGTCACTGCCCATTTTACAGCATTTTATGTCTCCTCTATTTCTAGACCACACTGCAGACAGATGAGGTGAAGAACGTGCCTTGCGGGACTAGGTAAGGTACCCGGAGTGAAGCAGCTAAGCCTGTGTCGGTGGAAGGGCTGTCTGGCTCCTAGAGACAGTGAAAGGAGAAGCATTCCTTCTCGGTGGTTTTACCAAGTTCCCTGCCTCCTTGCTCCCTTGGTTCTGATTTGACTAGGCTGTGCGGTGCAGTAGGGAAAATCACAGAAGGTAGACAGCTTCCGGAGGGCCTTGAATGCTGTGCTAAGTGTGGGCTTTTTCTGTTACAAGTGAAGATCCACCAAAAGCTTTCGGCAGATAAATGACTTGGTAGAGGAAGGTAAGCTTAGCATACCCAGCTATGGAGAATGTCATGAAGGTGGGGGGGTGACCTCAGGGTCTGGAAATCCAAACAGAAGACCACTCTAGTGGTCTGGTGGAAAAGTAAAAAAGGTCTAAACTGGAATAGAATCACAGACCACCACCACGAGGAAACATGCAGGCAAATCCAGAATTAGGGCATCGCACAGGACAGCTGGCCTGATGGCGTCACAAGGAGGAGCTTTGGGTTGAAAAGGAGAACTAAAAGACATAAAGCCATGGTGAGCCTTAATTAGAACCTGGTTCAAAAATACCGTCTATGAAAGACAGGGGAACTGGATTAGTCTGCTTGGGCGGCCATAGAGAGTGCAGCAGACTGCATCCAAGGAGCCAGCAGGGTTGGTTTCTGGTGAAGCCTCTTTTCCTCCAATGCAGATGGCGACTTTGCTGTGTCCTCGCGTGGCCTTTCCTCAGTGCACGCAGGGAGAAGATCTCTGGTATCTGCCTCTGTTCCTTTACCAAGCCCATCAGGTTGGGGCCCCACCCCTATGACCTCATGGAGCCTTAATTACCACCTTATGGCCCTATCTTGTACAGTCACAAGGGGGTTTTAGAGTTTCAGCAAATGGATTTTTGGAAAGCACACAGTTCAGTCCATAACAGGAACAACTGGGGAAATTGGAATAAGGACTCGGTATTAGAGGCTGTTAAGGAATTATTGCTAATTTTCTTAGGTTTGGGAATGGAGCCAGACTACATAGAATGTCATTATTCCTCAGTGAGTGTTACTAACGTGTTAAGGGAGAAAGAGTATCATGACTACAACTTACTTTTGAAATGCTCAGTGTAAAAAAGCAGATCAATCTATAAGGTGAACTGTTAACAATTGCTAAATTTAGGTGTTTGTGTATGGACGTTAGTTGTATTATTCTTTCAGTGTTTCTGTATGCTTAAAATTACAATGAATATTTGTGGGGAAAGGAAAGTGCTGAAACAAAGTGATGGTGAAGACAAAGTGAGAAACGGTGACCATAAAATCCCACTGTGGCCTTCTAAGTTCTGAGAATTCCTTGACTTTTCTTTTCCGTTCAATGGACTGTTTTCATCAAAAGGCATTGCAGATTCAACAGATATGAACTGTTGTTTTCTTCCTGGCACCCAGAAGTTTTACTTTTCTCCTTACGGAGATATTTTGAGGAGGTGTGGTTTCTCAGGAGATTGGGTTCTTGCTCTAAGCTCTGAAGATTCCTACTTGGAGATATCATGCCCTCTGGCCTCCCGTGAACCCCTCTGCTCCTTTTCTGCCAAGTCACACACCTGATGCCATCACCGAGAGACAGCACTATGTTCCAGAGCCGACTGGTGACTTCTTTGTTCATTCTTCCCCCAACAGTGGTGGTGTGATGATCTACTTTGACCGAATTGAAGTGGTGAACTTCTTGGTCCCGAACGCAGGTACGGTTTTCCAGTTGACCTTCACCACAGGCTTACTTTGCCCAGCATGTCCCCCCACCCCCACCCCCACCCCAGGTCTGTCGAAGCACCTCCGGCTGGGAGAGCCGCTGTGTCTGAGAAGGGGAGTCCTGCCTTTTCTGACTCTGCGATCCTGCCTTCCCTCCCAGTGTATGACATCGTGAAGAACTACACTGCCGACTACGACAAGGCCCTCATCTTCAACAAGATCCACCACGAGCTGAACCAGTTCTGCAGTGTGCATACACTTCAGGAGGTCTACATCGAACTCTTTGGTGAGAAAGCCTCTGCTGGCCGTAGCATGCCTCAGCTGCTGTTTGGCCCACCGCCTGCTTTTGAGCCACCGTGGGGGAGGATGGGTTCCCATGGACAGAAAGGGTCAGAGAACCCCGGGCCCAGGAACTGGTCCCACGTGAAATTTCTAGAAAATGTTGATGGCAGTGGCAGAAGGTCGTGAAAGCAGGTGAGCCTTGGGCGCAGGGATCACGGTGGGCTAGGGTACTCCTGGCCCGAATCAGAGGACTGGAAGGCAGGGGCGTCCCCACCGTCCCTGAAACGGCCTTCTGTAATGAAGACAGGGCCTGTTCTAGAGGAAGAACCTTCAAGATTATCCAGCCCGACGGCCTCGTTTCCAGAGAAGGGGACTGAGGCCCAAAGAGAAAGATGCAGAGCTAGTTGGTAGCTGAGCTGAGGCTAGAATCTTCCTCTCCTGGCTCTAGCTTCATAGTGCTGCTCGGCCCGCCACCCTGCAGGAAGGGCCCCCGGGAAAGGTGAGGAGGACCTAGAAGTGGGACAAGGACTGTAGCTTCTTGAAGTTCTTAGGTTGTGTAAACCTATACACGTGGAGATGAATAGGAAAACACTTAAAAGAATTCATGTCCTTAAGTACATACTTTTTGACCTTTTTAACCAGTCAAACATAGCCTGACTTTAGCAGCAAGGGAAAGAAACAGTTCAGTTAATTGTTCTAGCTCTTTTGTGGTTAAGTATTCTCTTTAAGCTTGCTGCCAGAAGTTTTCTAGTGGCCAGTGCTGAAAAGTACCACTATTCTTGATACCAGGACTGGACAGTGGCTTTTCCCAGGAATCTTCATTAAATAGGACCCTGAGAGAATGTGCCACGGAGTAGACAGGAGCGGGGAGGGACCCCTGGTGCTGCCCGTGATCTCAATCAGAGCCCGTTGCACGCTGTTTCTGATTGGGGAAATCATCAGAATCACTTTTAATTTCTCTGCAGTAGAAAATGAATCTAAGTTCACTTTACAGGGTTTAGATTCAGTATGCTTTTAAGAAAAATTCTGTAAATTTGGTATTGTTTTACCTCAAACTGAGAGCATTTTATAAAAGAGCATCAGTTTTCTCCGTAGCCCTGGTTTTAGAACTTGTGCCATTAAAGGAACACTTTAAAGCATTTGAAACAAGAGACAAAGGACTCTAACTTCCATGAAGAGAAAATGAAAATATGAAATTGTTTTGCGTTAGAAAACCTCTTACTGCCAGGGCCCTGGAAGGCTCAGTCCGTGGAGCATGCAGCTCTTGATCTCAGAGTCGTGGGTTCGAACCCCACATTGGATGTTGAGATTACAAAAAAAATAAAATCTTTAAAAAAGACCAAAAAGTGGAAGTTTCATATTGCCCAAGAGATAATAGCTTAGTGAAGCTTATTGTACAGAGAAGCTGGGAAAATGTAATTGCTTTGAAATTTTCTTTTTTTAAAGTTACGTCTTTTGAACAAACACTGTCTTGCTTAGAATCTGTGTCTATAAAGGAGGAATTCATGTCTCTAATCCCATTCCTAGAATGTGGGAGGTTTTCCCTAGTTCTGTCCGCTTAGGACTCACCGTCCTGACTTCCCGCATTACCGTGTAATTCTCATCACTGCTTACGCTAGTGCATACTCTCTGTCCATCTTATAAAAACATTTCATAGTTCTTGTTCAGCAGTTGACCTGCAGCAACCTCCTTGTGTAATGTAACCTAATCTGCACTTGTCTGCATGACTATAATGTATAAACAACTTATTACCAATATTACTTTGGTAATAAACCACCTGGCAAAATAATTTCCAGATTTTCCTAGAAAGTTATGAGCCCAGGACCACAGGTGTCTGCTTTAACTCAGGTATAATTTGGTCTAATAAATGACTATATATTATTAACTTAGGGAGGGCACAGAATATCTCAAAGTTTGGTTGGTATCCTATTGAAGTTAGAAAATATGAAATGTGATGTTTATCTATGCTGTCAAATTGTTAAACACATATCAGGTCTGAGGTGCTGCCTTTTGGGGCATTTCTCCCTCATGCTGAGAGGCCTGTGAGAGTATATCCAGTGCATGGAAATGTTAAAAGCCCTTGCTTACTGATATGACAGTAGAGGATAGTGCTGTTTTAAAGCATAAAACAGCCCTAAAAATTAAAGCAAGTTATTAAACAAGTGTATTATTTTGGCTCCTAACTAGCTTGAACACATCACTGAACTTCCATGGGCCTCCCACTTGCTGTTTCTCAGAAGCCCCTGTTTTGGGCACCAGTGACCAAAAACGGCCACTTAAAGCGGGTGGCAGCCGACAGGGAGGTGATCCAGTTCGGATATCCCAGCCTGGTTCCGTGGAGTCTTCCCAGTGCCGTCCAGGATCTTCCCGAGGACCTCGCAGGCAGGGCGTCAGGAAGAGAAGGCCCTGGCCAGAGAGGGCAGCTGTGGGTGCTGCAGGATCCCAGCCAGAAGGAGGAGTCAGTCAGAGCTCCTCCTACACTTGCCTATGAACCAACTCCCATGTGAATTCCAGACAGAGCAATGAGGGCCAAGGCAAACGACAGAAGACCCGGGCTCGTTTCCAGAACCGTAAATTTTCATTTTCCCCTCTGTGTTCTTTGATGGAGTTCTTAATGGAAATAGTCTTCCTTGGGGCCTTCATTGACGTCAGAGTCTGTTTTTCTTTTAGAAACTTCTAAAATGACTGGATTTCAATGGCTTGGCTCTCTTCAAACTACCTAGCATAGCCTTCCTTCCTCATGAAAACGGGGTGCCTGCCTTCTCTTTAGCTGCTGTTGTCTAGGGGAAGGCTGCCGCCCGACTCAAGAAATGTGCAAGAATTGTTTGTTCTTTTTCTTATTAAAGCTCAGTTTCCTGTCGGGCAAGGTTGCTATTTTCTACAGCCTCGGGTGATTGTATCTGGAGGCCACAGGAAAATGATACTCTCACATCCAGCTTGCGTGGAGGGGCTGTGTAGGCGTGTTGCTTTGAAAGATGTGCCCGGGGATCTTCGGATTTCTGGGCTCTGATAAGCACTCTGCCTTGGAAAGCCCTTTGGCCTGTCAGGTGCATTCTTGAGTAGTGTTTTAGTTCGTCCTCTACCTGCCTGCTTTCCTCCACCCTGCCTACAAAGTGGAACAACAACTTTTTCTATCTTTCTTGATTCCAGATCAGATTGACGAAAACCTCAAGCTGGCTTTACAACAGGACCTGACCTCCATGGCCCCCGGGCTTGTCATCCAAGTAAGCATTGCCACAGTGGGAGCACCCTCTGTTGAAGGGGCACCCCCCCGCGTTCCAAAGGATGTCCTTTTTCTGCAGGAAGATGAAGGGCCAGTGGGAGCTGCTTCTGTCCCTCACCACCCTCACCTTCCCATCACGTGCTATTTTTATCCTTCTCCAGGCTGTGCGGGTGACCAAGCCCAATATACCTGAGGCGATCCGCAGAAACTACGAGTTGATGTGAGTATTCCCTCTGCCCAAGCTATATCCACCACTCTCTCACACCCCACCCCCCACCTCATCCCATCCCAGAGTTAACCGAAGCCGTGCCAGACGCTCATTCCCCTTCTTGAGCGTTCGTTACAGCCCATTGCTCTGTAAGATGGAGCGGGTGTGTCAGGAGAGCCACCTGGGCTCTGGAACTGTGATGGAGAACCACAGGAGAAGCTCTTTCAGCTCTTCCACGGAAGGGCCAGGGGGTATTGTTTGTGCTTCATGGATCATACCAAAGAAGATGGGAGCGAAAGGTGCTTAAGTGGGCTGGCAGGTGCATTTTACCAAAGTTAATTATGCTTTATTTCCCACAAGTGAGTTATTTTGGAGGAGAAAGCCATGTTACCATCTGCAACAGATCAGCTTTTACTTGGGACATTGAACAGCCTTCCAAGAGAGAGGAAGAACTCACAGTTTGCCTCTCAGCAGAACCCTGGCTTCTCGGGGGGACAGTGAAGTTCCTCAGAAGCTTTTTCCATGGCAGCCCCACAGCTTCGTACCTTTTTTTCCTTCAGGGAAAGCGAGAAGACGAAGCTTCTCATTGCAGCCCAGAAACAGAAGGTGGTGGAGAAGGAAGCTGAGACGGAGCGGAAGAAGGCCCTCATTGGTCTGAATGTGGTTCTGTGATCACCTTACAGGGCGGAGCAGGCTGAAGAGGGTGGCGGGCAGCCGCGAGGTCGCCTCAGGCACAGCTAGATCACAGTCTTCCAAACCCTTGCCAGGCGCAGGAGGGGTATTCATCCTCCCGGAAGCAAAGCTGAAGTTGTCAGATCATGGCCAGGGGCAATGAGCTTTGAGTCTCCCCTTATCTCTGAAATGAAAGGAACCTTTCCTGTTAATTCTTAATGAGTAATAATAATGGCTAATACCTATCGAGCAGATATCATGAGTCATATACTTTTCTAAGCACTTACATGTGAATTACCTCACTCCTCACAACCACGAGGTGAGATAGGTACTACTGTTAACCTCATTTTCCTGAACCGGAGACCAGGGGCGTTAAATAACATGCCCAGGGTCATATGGCAAGTAAGTGGGGGAAACGGGGTTCAACCTCAGGGACTCTGTCCAGAACCTGGTTCGTAACCACTACACCAGATTATCAACCACTACTAACTGCTTCCCAAAGTGAAGTGGCAGGAAGAAACTGGACAGTATCTCATTCCTTAGGCTATCCCTCCAGGAGAAATACCCTTGTGACTTAGGGGAGAGGTTAGGGCTTGCTCCTCGCTTCCGTCAGAGGGCCCAGGTCTCTCCATTTACTGTCTTACACTAATGTCGTGGTACTGCACTCACTGGTACAATCCATGTGCGCCCACATGTGCCCGTCGCAGGCCTCTCCCTCTGAGCTAACCCACGGACCGGCCAGCATCAGGGACTCAGGAAAGGTCAAACAGTCTGGCTTTTGAAATACCAGTGCTCTGAGCCTTTTCTCAACTTCATTTCTGTAGAGGCAGAAAAAGTGGCTCAGGTCGCAGAAATCACCTATGGGCAGAAGGTGATGGAGAAGGAGACAGAGAAGAAGATTTCAGAAATTGAAGGTGAGCACAGGTGAAGTGAATGTCCAAGGTTCCTTCAGGCCCCACACCTTGTGGCAAGGGGGTGGGAGAGTCATTTCCTTCGCTCCTTCATCTTTGTTATAAGAGGTGATGATTTCTTTGGGAAATCACTTCTCTGTGCTTTTGAGTCGAGTTTGGGGGAGATACGAAGCCAGGCTGCCATCAGTTTTCCACTTCAGAGAACATTCGCTCGCGCAACAGATGTCCACTAAGTGCTGCTAGGCGCGCTTGTGTGAGGCCTAAGGGAAAAGGAAATCATTTAAGTCCCTGCTATCTCAGAGCCTTGGAAGTGAGCGAAGAGGTGAGGCCAGAACAGCACCTCCTCCCTGTGCCTTCCCTAGCCCCCTGCACATCAGCGAACACCACAGCTGTGGCCTCTTAAGTCTGCTCTCGGCACCCCCTGTCATGGTTACCAAGACACCTTTTCAGCACCAACAACCTGGAGCTGGAGAAAGAGTGCTTGCTTTGCTGGCTTTTCTGAACATGATTCACGTTCAGTTCCCTGCCCCTAAGCCCTCAGCTCGTTCCCACCGCCTACCCTTCCCTTCATGTGGTGCCTTAAGTTAAAATTCTAGGACAAAAATGCGACCTCGAGGCCCAGCTTCGAAGCGCTGTGTCCACTTGTACTCACTATGGTATGGGGCCTGTCAGGTTTTGCGGGGGCCCGGTGAGGAGCCAACTAGGATTTTACAGATTAGTGGCTCCTCATTAGGGAGCTCTTAGTAAAACAAGACATTTTTATTTCTTATAAAAACATGTCATCAGGTGCTAAGGCCGCTTGAGTGGGCCGCAGGCAGCCAGCACCCCAGCCAGACTGCACATTCCTTCCGCCCTGCATCGTGCTGAGGGTGTGCAGGAAGAAACCCGCTCCCCCCCCCAAGACTGGCCGTCCTTCCCAGGCTTCTGGCTACAAATATTACTCACAGGAGGCTGGCCTTATTCCCAAGGCAAGGGAGTAAGCATCAAAAATTTTGCATCAGGGGGTGCCTGGGTGGCTCCGTCAGCTAAGCGTCTGCCTTCGGCTCAGCTCATGATCCCAGGGTCCTGGGATTGAGCCCAGCATCGGGCTCCCTGCTCTGCAGGAAGCCTGCTTCTCCCTCTCCCACTCCCCCTGCTTGTGTTTCCTCTCTCACTGTGTCTCTTTCTGTCAAATAAAATCTTAAAAAAAAAAAAATTTTGCATCAGCTTGACAGAATCTTGTCTCAGCAGATTAAGGAAGTTGTGCACAGTGGAAGTTGAAATAGGTCTTCATCCAAACAGGTGTTAGTCTGGACCAGGGCATGTAGTTGCCTTAGGTAGAGTTATGTCGGCTTCTTAAAGAGTACCTTTTTTGAAATGATCGATGGAAATAAAAAGGGAATGAAACTGGAGAGGCACCAAGCTGTTTTGTGTTCGTGGCATTGGGTTTTAGGCGGAGCCACCTCTGGCTGTATTCCAGAGCCCTCCCTGGGCTCCTGGTGCCGTGGCTGTGCAGCACAAGAGGGATGGGGTGGAGAGCTCTGAAGCTGGACATGGGGACAGGGCCCACGCGGCTTCCCAGCCGTGGAGCGGCAAGAGGCATAAGCGCGGGGAACCAGGAAGTGTCTCCTGGACAGTGCTCTTCTCCAGCCTGCTGTCAGAGATGTTGCTGGGCACAGCCACAGACGTGCTCCTTGTTAGTCCCCACCACAGGGAGATGGCGTCCGAGCACCTCTTTGTCATGGTTCCTTTTCACCATGATTTGTGAAGTAGGGGAAAATGCCTCCTGCATTTTGCAGAAGAGGAAACCAAAGCACAGTGGAAAAAGAGCAGTCTCCCCGAGGTCACAGAGGAGGGGCGGGGGGTGGGGTGGTAAGGGTCCAGGGCCCGGTGTTCTGGTGGCTTCGGCACCACGTTCACTGCCTTCTTGTCCCCAGATGCTGCGTTTCTGGCCCGGGAGAAGGCAAAGGCTGATGCGGAGTGCTACACTGCTATGAAGCTTGCCGAAGCCAACAAGGTACAGCCCAGGGCCACCTGGGGAAGAGAAGGTATATCTGGCTTTGGGCTAATGTTTGAGAGTTCCTGGTGTCAGATGGCCACCACCACCCAAGCCCCTCCCGGCCAGAAGGGGTGGCCGCTGTGCCGTGGGGGACAGGTGCTGCCCTTCCCATTAGCCGAGCTTCGGCAGAAGTTTAATCGTTGTGTGAAACAAGGAAACTCCTAAAACTTGGAGCTCTGACCTCGCACATCCGTTAGTACCCTGTCACTAACAGAACAGTGAGCACAGGCCAGGAAGAGTCGAGAGGGCACATTGCTTTGCCAGAGACCCTCTCCTTGTGAAAAGTGAAGGATGCCACCCAGAGTCATCTCGAAACTGGCTCCACCTAGTCTGCTCTCGTTTGTTTCTTACAGCTGAAGCTGACGCCTGAGTATCTGCAGCTGATGAAGTACAAAGCCATTGCTTCCAACAGCAAGATTTACTTTGGCAAAGACATCCCGAACATGTTCGTGGACTCTGCGGGCAATCTGGGCAAGCAGTTCGAGGGGCTAGCTGACAAGCTGAGTTTCGATGATGAGCCCTTGGACGTAGACCCTGAGGAGAATTGAAAGTTTTTTGTATACAACCTCGGATGACACTTAAAAGAGATCTTTATTTTTGAATGATGAACCGGGATGCTCCTCCCTCCCACACTACCTGCTTTGACTCTCTTCTACATTCTGTGATGAAAAAAGAAGAAATGGATTTAAATCTATTCCCCTTCCTGGGAAGGGAGGGCAGGGTTTGCTGATTTGGGGTCTTATTCAGGTAAGCGGTTTAGATGACTTCTGTTAAGGTGGGCAAACCATGGGTTTGACCTTTGACCTCCAGACTCTAATTTTAGCCCTTTGAAGCTGGCTTAAGTAGGGATTCAATCATTACAGAGCGGGAGAAATAGAGGGTGTTGCCTCCAGGTGATTTGCTTTCCCCGATTTGGGAAAACGCGGTCCAATTTTCTCACCTCTGCCTCCAAGGCGGGAGATGCCTGTAGGTGAGGCTCAGCAACTGAGCAACTGTGTGCTTGTGAGTCTGCCCGCAGAGCTGCGGGGGAACAGCTGCAGAGAACGTTTGGCTTTGCTGGTATTTTTGTCGGCATATGTGAGTCATTTTAGAGGCACGCTTTCTCGAGCCCTCACAAGGAAGGACTGGTGCTAGGTTTTGCAAGCTCTTCTCTCCTACCCTCCTTGCCCCAGGGCTTAGAGAGCAGTGGTTTCTGACTACATTCCAGAGTCAGGGTTTGGGCACCACCCCACAATTCTTTTTAAAACTTTTCACCTGTTCTGTGATTTGTTTTTGGTTTTTTTCTCTCTCAAATCTGTCCGTTGATTCCACTCAGCATTAGGAAGATAGGAACAAACAACCCAAGTGTCTTGCTAGCCGCTGAAGGGGGATCGTTCCGTCTCTCGGCCACCATGGTCCCTGCTTGGCAGACGACGTATGTTCTCATTGTGGAGGTTCTATGTTGAAGAGCTCCTCTGGCGGCTGAGGTCACCTGAAGGATCTCCTAGTCTTGAGCTTATAGCTTGTGCTGGCAGTCTGTCTGACAGAGTGATAAAAAGGGAGCCTACTAAGTAGCACATGTTTTGAAATCTAGGGCGCCGACAGCCACATGGGTCAGACTGAATGCTCTGTCTCCGTAGACAGCTGTGGGGTCCATGTCAAGAGTTCGTGCCCAGGTCCCTGGATTGGAAGGGCTGCATCAAAATGTTCAAATGTTTTGGGTTTGGGTTTTTTGGGGTTTTTGTTTTTGTTTTTTTCATTTCTAATTAGGAAAATTTTGTGTCATTCTGGGAGATTTGGGATGGAGGAGAACAAACATGAAAGAAAGGTTTTTTTACATCCCGAAATTGGGGTCGGGGGATGGTGTCCAGCCTATGGCCGTGAGTTGTGTACCAAATTGTTTGCTTAGCTCCATCTAACTTGCAGGCATGTCGGTATTCTCCGTGACAAACTCTGGCTTAGGATCTGGCCTTGTTCTTAGCTGCCCTCCCCACCACGACCACCAAAGAAACTACCACTGTACCCCTTTTCCCTCAGTGATACTATGAATGATACTTTCTGGCACAGATCCCCACCTCATTTTTGGTCCCATGCCCAGACTTCTGCTTTATTGAATGGCCCCGGAATTCTGGCCCCCTTGCTCCCAGGTAGCACCAGGCTTGTCTTGAGAGTCTGGGGAGCATTCAGCGCGCTTAGGTAGAAACAACATGTTAACTCCTCTTAATTCAAATGTTGCCCTTCCCTGTTCTAATTTCTGGGACTTAGTATTCTCAGACCACTGGTCCTGGTCACACTTTGTGCAAGCAGCCAACTGTTCGTGGGAATGATGGATTTTAATGTGCTCAGAAGTGCTTGCAGAAGACAGTCTCCCAAGGCCAACATAGGGTATCCATTATTAAGATATACCCACCCTCCTCCCATTTGAATGCCATTAATCACTTGTTAGGAGCAACATGACACATGACATCCAGCTCCCCCGATTTACATATTTGCTCCCTCTACTCTGAGATTTGCTGCCTAGGCCTCAGAAAACACTACTTCAATAGAATAAAAAGCAAGAATATCTCCACCTCTGAATAGCACGTTTGCTCAGGTTCCTCACTTGAAAGCCCAATACTAACATCCTGTGACAGCCCGTCCCTTGCACTAGATATACTTTAACCACAAAAGAGCCTCAATGAAGTAAAATCCTGCTGCCCCTGCCTCCCTCAATGCTAATGTTGCTTCCCCTTTGAACAAAAAATATCAATGTCATAGTGCCCTTCAGTTTAAATTCAGTGGTTATCTGCACCTGCCTGAATAGTAAAATCATGGAAGTCAGCAGTTTCCTCAGCATGGGACAACTAACCAATCTGTGCGACTCTGTGTCTTCAACACTCACTAGAAAATCTGATCTTAAAACATTTGAATTCTAAATGTGTAAAATGTGACAGCCTACACTTTTGTAGGCAGTAAAGTCATGGCTGCTATTTGTAAATGGAACTTCTATCAAAATAAGTAGCTGTTTATAAAATTCAGTTTTTTGTAGGATTTTTCCAAGGAAAAGTCATCTTGGTTGAATGTTTCTCATTAAACTTTACAGAAGTGGTTCATATTCAGTACTGTTTTTAATCACTTTTTTAATATAAGGACAGAATATTTGCAAGGAAGCCAAAGTTTGTTAATAATTTTTATAAGACTAATATAAACTTGAAGGGATCTGTGGTCATATTAACTTGAAGGAGGAAAAAAAGATAATTGAAAGAATTTTGGCAATATATTGATCCAAAAAAAAAAATTGTTTTCTAAATGATCTGTTGTGATTTCTGTGGGTCTGTGTGTCTTTCTGCACTGATGACTTTGCCATTTACAGAGAGTAAGTAGTGAAAGTAAGATTGTCATCTTTACTGACTTATCAATTTAAGTTTGATTGAAGATAAACCTCAATCCTCAGTTGAGAATAAACCTGTGTGTTGTTGGCTAGTGACTACTCTGTGTGTCTGAACTTAACGGGCTACTTCATTAATTCTACTCAGTAGGGTTCGAGCCACTGTTTCTATTGCTTCCTTAGAAAAGAAGTAATAGCCAATCAGTTTGTGTCTGGATTTCCATTTCTTTTTATTTCTGCTTTTGTGTAAGCTGGTGATTGAATAGTCAAAACTAATTCTACTTCCAAAGAGCCCCAACAGTTTAATGACCCCCTTTGTAAACGAGAAATGATTCTTCTATTAATCACTCTATAAATAATATGCTGGATTAATCACCTTGGGTTGATAGCTGGGGAAATTGTTTTAGACCACACTAAAGGTGTTAATTTATGTCTCAGTTTTATTTTTAGTCTTGCTAAATAAAATCATTCTTCTTTGTATTTACTTTTTTATAAGTGAAATTTAGCAATAACTAATAATATTAGGATAGGTGATATAAAGAAATAAAATGTCCCTCCCTAGTGAGTGGAGTGCAAGATCACCCTAAAAATATATTCAGATGACTATCCCCATTATCAGTGTAGAAACAATAAGTAATTTGTAAACATGGCATGATTCGTGGTAGGTGCTATAGAAATTGATCATTTTAAAGAATCCATTCACTGCTGCAATTCTGGCCGAAAAGGTAGAGATACTTTCAGTTGACCCAAAACTCATTTTGATATCAATTCAGTGAGAAAGTCCCAGTCTCTAATCTGGAAAGCTGCCCAGCCTAAAGCTGCCAAATAAAATACACGATGCTTGTTTCAATTTGAATTTCGTTTAAACAACTAATAACTTTTAGTATGTCTCAAATACTGCAGGAGACATACTAAAAAATTATTTGTTATTTATATGACACACACATTTAACGGAATATCCTGTATTTTTATTTGCCAAGCATGGCAACCCAAGTCCAGGCTTCCTCAGGTTTTTTAACGGTGCTCTCAAACTTTCTCTGTTGGTCTGAGATCCCCTACACAAATAACGTGAACTTACAATCGAATTAGGTAAGTTAGGAATGTAGTCCCTTCGGTTAGACTGCCATGATTCAGATCCCTGCTCCACCACTTCTATATATATGGTCTTAAATAAATTCTTTAACCTCTCTGAACTTCAGTTTCTTCATCTATAAAATGGGTTGAGTGGATTAAATGAAATCCTGCATGTGAAGGGGTTAGCAGTGGGCCTGCCGTGTATAACGTTTTCAGTCAGCTGAGAAAACAGGCTAGAAAGCACACAGCTATCAAGTGGGTACCACTAAGTAGAAAATCAAAAAAAATGTGATAACACAGAATAAGATCATAGCACAAAGAGGAAAAAGGGAACAATATTGGAATGCAGCGAACAGTATTGAGAATACGTACATCTACAGAAATGTCATACGTACAAAATAAGCAGGTTTGGCCCTCTTGAGGGGAATTCCCAGTTCAGGGCTCCAGTTTGGAAAAAAAGACTTTTAAGAGGAGGCTAGCAAAACAAAACGTTAAAACCAAAATTTAAAAAGTAAAAAAATAAAACCAGGGACGCCTGGGTGGCTCAGTCGGTTAAGCGTCTGCCTTCGGCTCGGGTCATGATCCCAGGGTCCTGGGATCGGGACTAGGATCAAGTCTTGGGATTGAGCCCCTGTTGGGCCCAGCTCCCTGCTCAGCAGAGATTCTGCTTCTCCCTCTCCCTCTGCTCCCCAGGCCCCTGCTCGTGTGCACTCTCACTCTCTCGCTCTCACTCTCTCTCAAATAAACTCTTACAAAAAAATTAAAAATAAAGCCCAGGGGTTGACCCCATAAAAGGCAGAAGGGGAATTTAACGATTTCGCTTTATAAAAGTTGCATAAGGGTTGGCTAGGTTTTCTCTAGCTCCTCTGAGACCAGTGAAGAGGAAATTAGCTTGCAGAATAAAGTATTTTAGAGGATTTCACTTAAGATTGGCTAAAATTTGAAATCAGGAGAAGTAGTTGCGTGCAAACAGAAAATAAATCCAGGGATTAATATAAATAACATTTTCTTCTCCGACGGTCTTCAGAAATTGGGGCGAGTCTATGCTGTTTGGGATGGTTTAAATGTCATTCTATATGAAAGATCAAATGATCTCTACAGGTCCTCCCCAGGTCTGTGGTTCTGGAATCTGTATTCACACTTCAAAAGCCAAATGTGACCGTATGTTTGCTGAGGGATTGTTGCGATGGCTTCTCCACCTCAATTCATTTAAACTGGGACATGGGCATTATTTCTCCATTTCTCTTTAGAGCTAAGTAACCAGGCAACTGTAATTTTCTATTATTTTATCTTTTTTTGTCCCCCAAAAGAATCACGGTAAGCTCAGAAGGAAACAGTTTTAAAATCCATGAATGTTTTTCTCATAATTAAGGGCCTCAGATGACAGAGGTGAATGTTTTAAATGCTTGATGGCATTTACGGTGAATAAGTATACTACATTTTTATAAAATTATTTATAAAATCTGTTCCTCTGGGTGTTTGGCTTTTAATCTTTCTCTCTTCCTCTTTGTCCTTGCAAACTGTTGGAGCAATTTGAAGACAGTTATGGGTGATGAAGTGATTGTGGACCTCCATTTTTCAAGGATTAGAGAAGAATGAAGTGTTAGATAGTTGATGTCTGAGGAAGTGGAAGAGAAGAAACTAAAAAAGAAAATAAGGGGAAAAAGTGGAATAAAATTCATTCAGAAGCATAGCTGAAATGTGAAATGATGAGACTGGGGTCACCTTGATCTTTACTTCCATTTTCATAAGGTTATAGAATGTTAGAGGTGAAAAGCATCTTAGAAATGAATCCACAGTAAAGCCTGTCTTACTCATCCTGGTCTCCCCCCAAGTTATCTTTACAGAGAAATGCCCCTATATATATGTCGACTGAATAGATGAGCAGGATGGAGAAACTAACATTTATTGAACATTTGCACTTGCTATGGGGGAGCACTCTGCTAAGTGTCTTACACATGTTATCTTGATTGATCCCCACTGCACCTCTGAAGGAGATATGGACTCCATTTTATAAATGAAAAATTGAGAACTTCAGTAACTTATCCAAGATCACAGTTTAGTGAGGAAACCAAGATTCAATGTGTGGCAGTCCTATGCCACCACTACCCAATCTTGGCACCACTGTCCTTATTAACTTGAAATCTTAAGTCACTCTTCTGATGCCTTTTTGGCGTCAATGTGGGGAATGGGAGTGGGGGAGGTTGGCCTTAAAATTCAAAGAAGACACCTGACCTATTAAATGAAATCTATTAAATGAAGACTCCTGCTTGTTGTCATAATAACCCATCCCCTGGATTCTATGTACATCCTTTAGATCTGATGAGGTATTTATGGTTTTTAAAATGTTTTCCAGGGGCACCTGTGCACCTCAGTCAGTTAAGGATCCGACTCTTGATTTTGGCTCAGGTCATGATCCCAGGGTCGTGGGATGGAGCCCTGAGTCAGGCTCTGTGCTGGGCATGGAGCCTGCTTAAGATTCTCTCTCTCCCTCTGCCCCTCCCTGCTTGTGTGCTCTCTTTCCTTAAAAAAGAAAATAAATGTGTTCGAAGTAGCCTATCACTTTAAGTATGTTATGTTCACCCAATCCTTCCGTATACATCTCTTTACCGCGGTCCTAGTGGCTATAATCCCTTGTTCCTCCCACCACTGACTGCTACCTAGCGCCTTTCAACTCCCTATCTCTACAGCAAATTATTCACACCATGAAAGCCTGTTCTAATCATTTGTTACCATTTTGTCAGGAGTAAAAATTATCAAGTCCAGAGCCATTTTATTTCAACATAATTACTACTAATGCCTTTGGCAACCCTAATTTACAGATAACCCAGTTACCTGTACCTGGTAAAGAGAAACTTCCCAAAAAGTAGTCCTTGATGGCAAGCACCCTAGGTTCTGTTCAAAAGTGATTTTCCCAGAGCACAACATAATGAAATTTCATCTCATTCTTGGGGTCTGGGAAGATGGTGAGAGAAGAAAGAATATTGCCCTTTATTTCCTGAAGATTCGAAGTAAGCCGAGTGGCCCCAAGACAACCTCAGGAACAAACTTCAGCCTTTTCTCCAACATAATAGCATCCCACTTCATTAAGTTGAAATGCCTGAGAATCTTTAAACGGTACAAAAGCACTTTCCTTAACACAACTGATCTCTTTCTACGTACCCACAGCACCTACTATTTCACCATCTGACTATCAAACTTTGTATTTTACTGTATTAGTAAAATTCATTGTTTGGCTCCTCCTCATGTTTATGACCTTCATGTGGCCCAGAGCTGGACACATAGGACACTCAAGAATTGGACTGAATGTGTGCCGAGGTCATGCTAGACGTCTAAAGCTGCCTGTGCTCTCCTCCAATAAGGTAGCGCCAGCCGCAGGTGGCTACTGACCTTGTGAAATATGGATAGCCCGAACTGAGGCATGCTGAAAATCAAAACTACACAGCGAGTTTTGTAAGTTAAGTACAATGAAACAAAATCTCATGGCGCCTGGCTGTCTCAATGGGTAGAGCATGCGACATTTGATCTTCGGGTTGTTAAATTCAAGCCGCACTTGGGCATAGAGATTACTTAAAAATAAAATCTTTAAAAAAAAAAATCTCAGGGGCGCCTGGGTAGCTCAGTCGGTTAAGCGTCTGCCTTTGGCTCCGGGCATGATCCCAGAGTCTTGGGATCGAGCCCCGCATTGGGCTCCCTGCTCAGCGGGGAGTCTGCTGCTTCTCGCTCTGCCTGCCTTTCTGCCTACTTGTGCTCTTTCTCTGACAAATTAAAAAAAAAAAAAAAAAAAACCTCATTGAGTTTTCCTATTGGTTGCATAGTGAAACTTTGGAGATACTGGGTTAAATGTATTCATTAAAATGTTTTACTTTTTATGCGCCTACTGGAAATTCTTTAATTACTTGTGTGGATCGCATATTTCAATTGGACAGCACTGGTTTCAAGGATGACAAGAAATAACCACACATTTGAATCAGGCCGTGTTCTTTAGAAACAGTTTTCTTTTATATCTCTTAACAACCGGTTCCTCACAAGACTCATCTGAGACACTAAAAGCCATGTCTCCCGCTCCAGCAGCTTCAAGTCCTGGTACCCACGCAGCTCTTTGAACGCCAAGGACGGGCAGATCTGTGCGGCATTTGGAAAAGGACAAGGACCCAGGAACAGGCCCTCTTTTTTTTCGTCAGAAAGCTCCCACAGGGCCGTGGGCGGCGACTCAGGCAGCTGGACGTGGAAGGCTCGCCGGGGCGGGGGGGGCGCACCGGAACTACTCCAGAGGCGGCCTCCACACCCCAGCCCCGCGTCTGGAGCCCGGCCAGCTTGTCCCCAGCAAGGCCCCGGGCGCCCTCCCCAAGATGGCCGCCGCCGCGGGGCGGAGCCGCTCGCCATCCCGCCCCCGTCCCAGTGTCGATTGGATGAGACGACTCGGTGGTGAGCGGCGATTGGGCCATACAAGACGCGAGCTGGGCGGGACCGGAAAACGATCTCAGCCTGGGGGTGCGAGGGGTCTGGGCTCGGCGTTGGTCCCTGGGGATGTGGAGAGCAGGCAGCATGTCGGCGGAGCTGGGAGTCGGGTTTGCACTGCGGGCAGTGAACGAGCGCGTGCAGCAGGCGGTGGCACGGCGGCCGCGGGTGAGGAAGGAGACAGCGTGGGGACGGTGGGCCGCTGCTTTGAGGAGGGGACGCCTGCGTGGGAATGGGTCGTCACGGTGACGCAGAGGGGGTCTCCCGGCGGCGAGCCGTCCTGCCGCCTTGGCGTCGGCGCGGGTTGCAGAGCCCCCACAAGGCTAGCGAGGGGTTTCCTCCGTGACGTCGCAATGAGTCTGCCAGGTTTTCTGGAGGTTGGTTCAGTTGGAGCAGAAGGTGTCCACCACCCGAGAAAATGACCACCCCCGACATCGCGGCCATTGCCCACCCTGCCTTGTGTAAAGGTCAAAAGCCTTAGCGGACTGGAGCAGCGCCAGTCCTGTGCCCAGACGCTGCAAGACGTCTAATACAAGAGAACCCAAAAGAGGCCGGGTCTCCTGAGATCACCACTCGTAGGTGAAAGAGAAGGTGGATTGGCCCAATTCTACTGGGACGTTTGGGGCAGGAGGGAGCTGACATCCAATCCCAAGGAGTTTAAAAGGAGACCCTTTTCCCCCTTATATTCTGTCTCATCTTTGAATTTAATTAGATCAAGGGTCGATACTTGCTTCCCTCCTTGTAAGTTTTAAGCTGAATGGTGGTAGAGTGAGACACAACTGAACAGAAAGGTCAGAGTTTCTCTGATCAAGCATTTATGGTGTCAGAATTCAGAATGCTGTCCTGGAGACAGAAGACCTAGATTAGTATAGTCTTTTCTTGGCTACTAATTAGATGTTACCTTGAACTAAGTCACCTAACTACTCTGGCCCTGAGTTTCCTCTTCTGCCATAGGCAATGGAATAAGCTCTGATGCTTTAAGCTCACTGCTGGCATTGATGTTCTATGATTCTCAGTGATTCTCCCTAATAAACGTCATTCTGGGAGGTTCTCCCAGCATAACTCCTCAGGCAAATGGGCTGCCTGTTCACTTTTCTCTCTGGAAATTATCAATTCATCCTAATAATCATGGGAGTTATGACATAGTCTCATAAAAGGCGGGTAATGCATCCCTCAGAAGGAAGAGGAAACTTCTTGCTAATAGATCTGAGTCTTCAGGGCCTTTGAAAATAGTGATTCTCATAAAATTAGCTATCACAATCATATTAGAAAAAAGCATTCAAGGTTTCTTCCATGTCATGTTCAGAGACATGAGGTTGTGCCTGTTTTAAGCCTGTTCAGTTACGGGTCTTTCTAAGCAGCAAAGTAATCCACGTGAGTGGAGGATCCACTGTGCCTGACATGACGTGTCCCTCATTCATTTCTACTGAATCACTGTGAGTGTATCATTGCTGCCCTCAGAAAAATGAGCCTCTGCTTGGTTTTACACACAGACAATAAAAGAGATCTTTGAAAAAAAAAAAAAATACAGTGATTCTGTAAAAATTGCAGAGGGTGATGGGGTACATGAAAACTGAGATATATGAGAATAGATGGATCTCTTGTTGCCTCTGTATAGATTTGGTTGCAGCAGAATGCAGAGAAGCTCTGCTTTTTATGTGATGGCCGTACACATACGGGGGGTCATATGGGCCTAATCCTGAGTCCAGTTTTTGGTGTCCCTACCTCAGTTCTGCTGCTGCTTCTTGATAGATTGCACAGTAAATTACAAAGCCACACAGGCCACTTTGGAATGTGGTGGGCAATGTTAATGAATATACCAGGCCCAGAATGAGTTTCCAAAACTTGGAGTTTCATAAGCCAGCAGTGGCATCCCCTCTAGTCAGAGAGTAATGCCTTCTCTTAATGAAGTGATTCTTAAACCTCCAACCTTGGTAGACAAGAGCATCATCTGGAGAGTTTGTTTAAATAGCAGATTCTCAGACTCCAGCTCCAGAGATTCAGATTCAGTAGGTCTGGAGTGGTACCCAGATGATGCTGATGCAGTTGGTCAAAGACCGCATTTTAAGGAAATACTGCTTTTACTTACCTTCCCAGTTCTCCTGAGAGAGACTAGATGTTAAAATAGCTAACACTCTAGATTTAGATGCCATACATTTGAAAGACATTGGATCAACATTATTTGATGCTGGTCTCCCTCCAGTATTGGAATAATGGAGCTTACCGGATGTCAAGACTTATGCCGATTGATTCTATGGGATCCATCTTACAGAACTTATTGGGATAATATTCCTAAACATTCACTCATTTGGCTTTTTCCCTCTTGGCAGGATCTCCCAGCCATCCAGCCCCGGCTAGTAGCAGTCAGCAAAACCAAACCTGCAGACATGGTGATTGAAGCCTACAGTCACGGCCAGCGTACTTTCGGGGAGAACTACGTAAGAGTCCTTTCCCAGTCTGCTTTTGGAAGAGTCGTGATTGCCAGGCTTCTGACTCGTGTTGTTTTTTTCCTTTAGGTTCAAGAACTGCTAGAAAAAGCATCAAATCCTAAAGTAAGTGGATACCTCAATCCTTCAGTTTGCATCTAATCTTGGCCCTTCAGTTGAAAGTTAGACCCATTATGGTGGTTGAGTTTTACAGGAGGGTCAACTGGTGGTAGAAATGTCTACATTCACCTTGAGCTCCAAATATTTCTCAGCTAGATTTTCTTTCTTTATTAACACCAAGACTATAGTTTTCTCCTTTGCAGCTTTTTGGATGTGATGATTTAGGAGCTTGCTATAATCCTGGGTCCTTTTGAGATTTGAAAGCTTTAATCAGTTCATCCTTTTTTTTTTTTTTTTTAAGTAGGCTCCACACCTGGGTGCCTGGGTGGCTCAGTTGGTTAAGCGACTGCCTTTGGCTCAGGTCATGATCCCGGAGTCCTGGGATCAAGTACCACATCGGGCTCCCAGCTCAGCAGGGAGCCTGCTTCTCCCTCTGACCCTATCCCCTCTCATGCTGTTTCCCTCTCTCTCTCTCTCTCTCTCAAATAAATAAATAAATAAAATCTTTAAAAAAAAAAAAAGTAGGCTCCACACCCAATGTCTGGCTTGAACTCACCACTCTGATCAAGAGTCATGTGCTCTACCGACTGAACCACCCAGGTGCTCCATAATCAGTTCATTTTTCAAGGATGATATCTAAAAGATAGAGGGAGCTGATGGGAACAAGGAAGAGAAACAGAGTAGAAGCCTTAGTATCCTTAGGAGCCTGCCTGGCTGAAGATGGTGATAGTGGTTTGTTGCATAGACATGAAAAGACAGAAGGGAGTGTGTAAGGTATTTGAGCCAGCAAGGCCTTCATAAATTCAAAGTCAAACATGGTTACCTTTTTCTCTTCAGATTCTTTCTTCATGTCCTGAGATCAGATGGCACTTCATTGGCCACCTACAGAAACAAAATGTCAACAAATTGATGGGTAAGATAAAATTCTAAATATGAAGACAAAATCTCTATCATTATATTACTTAGACTACTTTCTTTGGAAAAGGGAACAGCTTTTAGAATAGTCCTAATTCACCATTTGTGTTTTGGAGTTTTTTGGGAAAAGAAATCTTAATTCTTAGTATGAGGAAAAAGCTTCATATCAAGAACAGAATGAATTCACCGTTGCCTGGGTTGTTTATACTTGGAAACCTACCCTACTTGGAAATGTTAGGTATCATTTGGTGGTCTTTCAAATAAATTATAAGGAATTATAGCCCATAAAATTTTTCACTTGACAAGGGAGACATTTTTGTCCTTTTCCCTTTAAATGTAAGGCTATAGGGGTGCTTGGGTAGCTCAGTCGGTTAAGCGTCTGCCTTGAGCTCAGGTCGTGATCCCCCGGGTCCAGGGATCGAGCCCCACATCAGGTCCTTGCTCAGTGGGGAACCTGCTTCTCCCTCTCCCTCTGCCTGCCACTCCCCCTGCTTGTGCTCTCTCTCTCTGTCAAAAAAATGAATGAAATCTTAAAAAAAAAAGCTATAGTAAATAAAATATAATAACATACAATAAAACAAACACAGTATGTAATAATAAAATATAATATACGGTGAAATACAGTAAAGTACAGTAAAGTAAATTAAGAATTAACTACAGAAGGATTTAACCATATGCTAATGACATGTGGAGATCTGTTTGAGGAACTGAATACTTCTCTCAACGTGTCAAAATTAAAATAACCTTTATTTTTTTAGGCAGCTTTATTAAAGTATAATTGACCTACAGTAAATTGTATATACTTAAAGTGCACAATTTGATTAGTTTCAACATATGATTGTACCTGTGAAACCATTACAGCAGTCAAGATAGTAAACATATCCATCACCCCAAAAAGTTTCCTCATGTCCTTTGTAACCCCTTCTTTCTGCTTCTTCCCCCAATCCCTCCTTCAGCACTACTTTTTTTTTAAGATTTTGTTATTTATTTATTTAGAGAGCGTGAGCATGAGCAGAGGGGAGGGGCAGAGGGAGAAGCAGACTCCCCGCTGAGCAGGGAGCCCAATGCGGGGCTCGATCCCAGGACCCTGGGATCACAACTTGAGCCAAAGGCAGATGCTTAACCAACTGAGCCACCCAGGTGCCCCCCTCCTTCAGCACTACTTACCTGCTTTCTGTCACTGTAGATTAGTTTACCTTGTTAAGAGTTTTATATAAATGGAATCATAAATAGTATGTACTTTTTTTGGTCTGACTTCTTCCACTCAGCATAATTATTTTAAGGTTAATCATGTTGATTTGTGTGTCAGTAGTTCACTCCTTTTAGTTTAACCATTCACCTATTGATGGCCATTTGGGTTTCTTCTAATTTGGGGCTATGACAAATAAAATTATTATAGAGTTGAGGGGGAAAAATTGTGAACATCTTTGTAAGAATTTTTTTTTTAAGATTTTTATTTGAGAGGGAAAGAGCATGTGAGCAGTGGGGGTTGGGGGAGGGACAAGCAGACTCCACGCTGAGCCCGATGTGGGGCTTGATCTCACGACCCTGAGATCATGACCTGAGCTGAAATCAGGAGGCGGATGCTTAACAGACTGAACCACCTAGGCACCCCTGGACTTCTTCTTCTTGGAATAAATACCTAGGAGTAGAATGGCTGAATCACATGATAAATATATGTTTAACTTTTTTTTTAATTCTGGTAAAATACACATAACATAAAACTTACCATCTTAACTATTTTTAAGTATACAGTTCAATGGCATCAAGTTCATTCACATTGTTTGCAACCGTCACTACTATCCATCCTCTAGAATTCTTTCCCTCTCTTAGAACTGAAACCCGCTCCCCATCATGTATGTTTAACTTTTGAAGAAACTGCCAAGCTGTCTTCCAAAGTGGTTGTGCCGTTGTACATTCCCACCAGCAGTGGTTCAAGTTCCTCCACATCCTTGTCCACATTTCATGTAGTCAGTCTTTTAATTTTAGCCATTTTGGTAGGTATGTGGTGGTGTCCTTGCATTTCCCTAATGGCTAATGATATGGAACATCTTTTCACATGTTTGTGTCCATTTATCTTCTTTGGTGAAGTGTCTATCAAAATCTTTTACCTGTTTTCTAATTGGATTTTTTTACTTTTCAGACAGGAGAATTCTTTATATATTCTGGATAATAGTCCTTTATCAGATACATGCTTTGCAAATTTTTTCTCCCACTCTATTGCTTGCCTTTTCCTTCTCTTAACAGTGTCTTTTAAAGAGCAGAAGTTTTTAATTTGATGAAGTCCATTTTATCAATATATATTTTCATAGACTGTGCTTTAGGTGTTGTGTCTAAAAAATATTTCCCTATGGGTCAAATCATACAGATTTTCTCCTAGCAGTTTTATACTGTTCAGTCTTATATTAAGCTTCATTATTCACTTTGAGTTAATTATTGTAAATGGTGCAAGGTATGATTCCAAGTTAGGGGTTTTTTTGCATATAAATATCTAATCGTTCCAACACTACTTGTTGGAAAGTCTGTCCTTTCTCCATTTCATTCCTTTGCACCTTTATCAAAAATCAGCTATCCATGGGTTTATTTCTAGACTATTTACTCTGTTCCACTGATCTACTTACCTACTTTTACACTGATAGCATGCTATTTTGATTTACTGGAGCTTTATAATAATTTTTTTTTTAAGATTTTATTTATTGGGGCTCCTGGGTGGCTCAGTCGTTAAGCGTCTGCCTTCGGCTCAGGTTGTGATCCCACGGTCCTGGGATCGAGCCCCTCATTGGGCTCCCTGCTCAGCGGGAAGCCTGCTTCTCCCTCTCCCACTCCCCCTGCTTGTGTTCCCTCTCTCTGGGGTATGTGGGGCTCGATCCCAGGACCCTGTGATCATGACCTGAGCCGAAGGCAGACGCTTAACGACTGAGCCACCCAGGCACCCTGCTTTATAATAATTCTTGAAATTGAGTATTGTTAGTACCCAACTTTGTTCTTCTTTTTCAAAGTCATTTTGGCTATTCTAGATCCTTTGCATTTCCATATAAACCAATTTGTCAATTTCTACCAAAATAAAACAAAACAAACATCCCGCCAGGTGTTTGATTAGGATTATATTGAATCTCTAGATCAGTTTGGAGAACATTGACATAGTAAAAACACTGAATCTCCCAACACATTAATGGGGGTATAGCTCAGTATTTATTTAGGTCTTCTTTAACTTCTCTCAGTAATATTTTGTAGTTTTCATTGTGCAGGATTTCCTCATCTTTTGTCTGATTTATATCTAAGTTTTTCTTATATTTTGATGCTCTCTGTTGATATATTATTGATGCTGTTACTTCAATTTCTGATTTTTTTTGCTAATATATAATAAAATTGATTTTGTATATTCATTTTCTATCCTGCAACTTTGTTAAACTCATGCTAGTAGTTCTACTTATTCTAGTAGTTTCTTAGTAGTTTTTTAAGTTCTACTAATTCTAGTGGAGGTTTTGGGTTTTTTGTTTTGTTTTGTTTTTGCAGATTCCATATAATTTTGTAGGTAGACAATTATGTTACCTATAAACAAAGACAATTTCCAATCTGGAAATTTTATTTCTTTTTCTTGCCTTAGTATACTAGCTAATACCTCCAATACAGTATTGAATAGAAATGCTATAAGTGTACATGCATGTTTTTCTTGATGCCTTTTATCAGGAGGAGGAATTACTCTTCTAATCCTAGTTTGCTGAGAGGCTTTATCAAGAATCAGTGTTAGATTTTGTCAGATGCCTTTATTGCATCCATTGAAAGGATCCTATGGGTTTTTCTTTTTCAGTTTATTAACATGTTGAATTATATTTATTGATTTTCAAATGTTAAACCACCCCTATATTCTTAGGAATAAGCTCACTTGGTCAGGCAGTATTATCCTTTTACTGTAATGTTGCATTTGATTTAAGTTTTGCTTAAAATGTTTGCATCTACATTCATAAGGGACATGGGCTGTTGTTTTCCTGTAATATCTTTTTTTAGGTTTGATAACAGAATAATGCTGGCCTCATAGAATGAACTGGAAAGTATTCCCACCTCTTCAGTCTTGAAAGAGCTTGTGTGGAATTGGTATGGTCCCTTCCTTAACTGCTTGGTAGAATTCACCAGTGAGGCCTGGAGTTTCTTTTTAGGAAGGTTTTTAACTATAGTTTCAATTTTGTTAATAGACTATTCACATAATCTGTTTTTTCTTCAGTGAGCTTTGTTACTTTATGTTTTTCGAGGAGTTTGCCCATTTCATCTAAAGTAATAAATTTATGAGCATTAAGTTGTTTGTAGTATCTTTTTATTATCCTTTTAATATCTGTAGAATCTGTAGTGATGTCAACTCATTCCTGATGTTGGTAATTTGTGTCTTCTCTTTTTTTTCCTAATCCATCTGGCTGGAGGTTTATCAAGTTTATCAGTCTCCTCAGAGAACTACTTTTAGTTTCATTAATTTTTCTCTGCTGTTATATTAGTATAATATGTTATATAAACAAAAATAATGATGTATTGTGGGATTTATAACATGAAAAAGTAAAGTGCATTGAAACAATAACATACGAAAAGGAAAGTAAGAAACAGAAGTACACTATTATCAGGTTCTTAAACTTTATATGAAGTGGTATGACACCATTTTAAGGTAGACTGTGTATAAGTTCAACTTTAAAAGCAACCAATAAGGGTGCCTGACTGGCTCAGTTGGTAGAGTGTTACAACTTGATCTCAGGGTCATGAGTTCAAGCCCCACATTGGGCATAAAGCTTACTTTAAAAAATAAAATAAAGGAACCAATAAAATAACACAATAGAGAGTTATAGCTAATAAGTCAACAAAGGAGATAAAGTGGTGTAATAAAAAATATGTGAAATGGTATCTCATTGTGGTTTGATTTGCATTTCCCTAATGACAAATGAAGTTGAGCATTTTTTCATGTGTTTATTGGCCATTTGTACATCTTCTTTGGAGAAATGTCTGTTCAAATCCTTT